CATGCAGCCCTGACGTTGTTATTGATGCTAGCTAGACATTAAATTTTGGTCACTTGATGCCATGACCTAAATCCAACCAAATATAAACGTCTTATGCTTTTGTGTGCCTGCTGGGTTAAAGTAAGTTAATATACCTGTTGCTTTTAAGAAAAGTTTGTTAAGTGTACTAAAAAAGTGAGTAAACCCACTGCCCCAAATTTTATGTGCATATAAGCATAAAAAATATGATAAATCAACTTAACGGTTCCTAGTTACAATGGATTCTTTAAAGTAAAGTCAACTTGTTGCTTTTATTAAGTAAATAATCCCTTATGTATAGCTTTTAAATCTCTTACTTTTATTATTATATATTATGGAAATGGCGGCACGGTGGCTCAGTGTTGCCTCACAGCAAGAAGGTAGCTGAAAGACAGTCCAAACATATGCACTATAGGTGAATTGGGTCAACAAGATTGGCTTTGCTAAATAAATGAGTGTGATTGAGTGTGTATTGGTGTTTTACAGTACTATAGTTTGCAGCTGGAAGGGCATCCACTGTGTAAAAATATATGCTGGATTAGTAGGTGGTTCATTCCGCTGTGGCGACCTCTGTTAAATCAGAGTCTTACCCGAAGGAAAATGTTTGGATGATTTATGGGAGCACAGCACACTCAAATAGAACTTTTTTTCTGAAATTCACCTTTATGTTTGTTTTTGTACTGGAAAAACTTTTTAAATTTCTTAACTAGTTATTTATAAAATATAGTAAGACCTTCATCTAGCTCACAGTTAAGACCTTACTAACATGCCAAAAGTTACTCTTTCTATAATTGTGCCACAGCTATTGCTGGATTGAAAAGTTGAGATTTAATACAGCATAAACCAGCAACAATTCCATTTTGGTCCTAGCTGATTTATGCTTGCTAGAGCTGGTGAAGTGCTGTTCTAGCTGGAGGATGAGCAGTCATCCCGTTTACAATCAAAAACTCAAACAAAACCTCCATATGGGACCAACAACCAACATCTGGCAACCCACGATACTAAATAATATAAAAACACGTCTCTATCCATCCCAAAAGCTTCACTACATCTTAAAACTTAAAATGTTTTATGTAAACTGTAAAAAAAAAAAAAAAAAAAAAAAAGGATTGGGCAACAATTAATTGCACTCAAAAATAAAATTTTAAATTCACAATTATATATATATATATATACACTTAAAAAATATTTTGTTTTGCTCGTTTAAATTACTTATTTAAAATGAGCTGAGACAACACAATTCTTGATATTTCAATGGGATTACTCAATTTTTTTAAATGTTCGGTCCACATGAATTTGTTAAAAGTGTTGAGTTAACTTAATTTGAGTTGGGACAACATGAATGAATTGGGTGGAAGCCTGCATTATTTACAGAGTAAGTTCAACATTTGAAGTGAATCAAAACCTTTCATCAAACTTGTCCTAAAGCTATTGAACAACACTTTTGTCTTTAGACAGTTTTAAAAACTTTTTTTGTTTATTTTTTTTATTTTTTTATTTTTTTGCATAGACTGCTGTCCAGATATTGTATTAAAAAACTACATTTTTCTCGACTTTGCAGTGTATGTATAGTGCTAAAGAAAATAGCAACATTTCACAATTCTCTACAATGATATAATTAATAATAATTAATCATATCCAATATTTAAAAACCTATTTACATAGTATGTGTGGTACTTTATAAATTTAACATGTATATAATGCATATAATACATTATATATGTGTAAAAAAATCTTTTGGGGTGAACATAATTGGTACAAGGTTTTATAAGAAGCTGTGGAAATATTTGCTTGAGGTTTTGATGCTAAAATAGGATCGCCAAGTTGCTAAATTTAAGAATTCACAATAGGCATGTGACGATAACTGGTTTCAAATTTTACCGTTGTTTGAAAACATCAAGGTTTTAAAACTGCAAAAAAATCTGGTTTACCTTTCCTATAGTGTATGTAAAGGTTGTTTTTATGTGTTATATATCTGTGTTTTGTAAACTAATTAACCCAGCATAAGTTAATTCTTTATTTTAATTATTTAGCCTGACATGTTTACTGCTCCAAAATATTATAAATGTGAATTGTAAATTGAAAAATTTTAAAGTGCAATACTGTATATTGGAACTTATTTTAGATTTAGATTTTTATTCAAGGTTATCATACCATCACAAGCTTGTACCGGCCCATGCCTAATCCACATTTCTTCACAGCTTTTATATAAAATGCTAAATTATACAATTGTTACTGTTTAAATGATTTAGTCACATTGCATTTATAAATGTTTCATCTCTGATGTTTTTTAAAGATAGTTCACCCAAAAATTAAAATAATTTTATCAAATACTCATCCTCCACTTGTTACAAACCCAGAATAGTTTCTTTCTTCTGAAGTTTCTTTCTTCAATTGAACACAAATGAAGATATACTGAAATGGGAAACTGCCGATATCCACATTTGTTTTTATTTTTTTTTAGCTTCTTTTTTGGTTTTACAACATTCTTAAGAATGTCTTGTTTTGTATTCAACAGAAGAAAGAAATTCATAAAAGATTAGAATTACTTGAGTGTCAATAAGTAGTGAGCAAATATTCATTTTTAGGAGTGGGAGAAGTGGATCTATTTCTTTAAGATCCACTGAAAGCTTTTGGATTGATGCAGTGGTGTATTTTTGAGAATAAGACATTTGGGGGAAAGTCTCTGCTAAATTTATTATTGTAAATTAAATCACATTTTTGAGAAATCAATGCAGAAATCCAGATATTATCAAAGGATCTTGCTCTCTGCGTTTAAACAACTCATATCCAACTAACTCCCTTTCTTTAAGTACTATTTACCAGTTTGATTTGTTATTAGCATCCTATTTAAATATAGGTGGAAGAGACACTGGGATAGGATGGGGGGCAGGATTCCCTAAAGAGAGGCTTATTGTCAATCAAGAGGTCTCAGACCAGCAGACCATTACGCTAAGTGTTAATCTTAGAGACAGTCTAGAGACAACAGTCTATAGATAAAAAGACAAATTTGCCCATTGTATTTTCATAGAAATTTGCATTTGACTGTTGAAAAATAAATAATTCAGAAATTATTCTTAGTTTTAATTGCAACATTTTTGTGCATTCAATTATTTTAAATGTATTATTAAACAAAATATATTCAATTAGACCAAATAAGTAAACTAAATATTAAATTATTCATTCATTCATTTTCTTTTCGGCTTCATCCCTTTATTAATCTGGGGTCACCACAGCTGAATGAACCGCCAACATATTTAATTACTCTTTTAATAATATTTTTATTAAATTGTTTTGCTTTCTTAAAATATCGTCTAATATGCCATTGTTTACACATTTTGATTAAACATTTAGCAAAGATTGTTGCAACTAAAAAGCAGCTAATTATTTAAATTCCATTTTTCTGTACTAACTTATCAAAATGTAATAAATTAACAAATAAATATACATCAATATACATATGTTGATTGTTTTATAGTGCTTTTATCGAAAGGATTGCAATATTTTGTTTGATCTGTTGGTATGGAAATGCTTCTGAGACCCAGAAGAGGTCACTGGGGAATGTGGTGACAACAGCCAGTAAGTTATTGGGAATAAAACTAAAAAGTATTGATAGTATAGTCAAAGAAAGAGTACTAAATAAGGCTGTAACACTTTATTTTGATGGTCCATTTGAGTATAAGTAGACTGTCTGCTTAATATCTGTTGATACTTCAACAGACATTTAACTGACCAAAAGAAACTTTGCAAGAACATGTCAAATTTAACCCTAACCCCAACCTAACAGTCTACTTATAATCTAATGAAAATTCGTTGGCATGTTGGTGAAATGTAACTTAAATTCAACAAATGGACCATCAAAATAAAGTGTGACCAATAAGGTTATCACGATTGTCAATGATGAGAGACATGCTTTATCAAACAACTTCCAGTTGTTGCCATCAGGTCGTTGATATTGTGTTCCCAGATATGTACGAAATAGGACAAAATGATCATTTATACTACAAGCAATTTCATTTTTAAATTCTTCCTTTCGCAGTAGCTGATGGCTGATGGATATTTATTTAGAGTAGGGGTTTATTTTTTCCCCAGTTTCTGTTTAACAGAGAGCAGATTTTTCAACACATTTCTAAACATAGTTTAATTAACTCAATGCTAATAACTGATTTTTTTAATCTTTGCCATGATGACAGTAAATAATATTTTACTAGATATTTTTCAAGACACTCCTATACAGCTTAAAGTGACATTTAAAGGTCTAACTGGGTTAATAAAGTTAATAGGCAGGTTAGGGTAATTAGGCAAGTTATTGTATAATGATAGTTTGTTTTGTAAATATTGGAAAAAAATTGCCTTAAAGGGGCTAATAATTTTAACCTTAAAATGGCTTTTAAAAAAATTAAATTTGCTTTCATTCTTGCCAAAATAAAAAAAAATATTATCAAACTTACTGTGCAAATGTCCTTGCTCTGTTAAACATCATTTGGAAAAAATTTGGAAAAGGAAAAAAAAAATCAAAGGGGGGCTAATAATTCTGACTTCAACTATTTATAAATGCGAATATTTATATGTAAATGTGAAATGGTCTCTGTGAGTGTATGCTGCAAATGAAATTTTCCTATGGGTACAAATATTGTTAGTTAACATACATGAAAATATCTCCAATATATTTTGTACTAAATAGAATTAGTATATTTGTCGAGTAAAATAAAAATAAAATTAAATACATAAATATAAAACTGAAATAAAATGAGGCTGTTTACTTCAAATTGTTATATTGTTTAAATAGACTGTTCGTATTTAGCTCTCATTTTGCTGAATTTGTGAATTATTTGGTTAACTCATTCAAACAATCCAATAGTTTTCCAGTCGCCTACAGTTTATAGAAGTATATGCTGGTTTTCAAAATGTGCTGATATTTGTATCCCGCTCAACTTCTCCTCTGTGAGATAAAAAGAACTTCATCTTGCCGAAAGACAGAATCTTATTCAAAAGTTATTTATTTCGAGACATATCTACATATTAACATAAAACATGTACATTTGATATAAATTAAGGACATATTAAGACGTATTTACAGAGCGGCGTGTTGTGCATTGTGTAAGCTGAAGGCATTGTGGCCGATGAAGTTCATGTAGTGATGATCGAGTCCCTGAACCGGCGATAAGTATCCGCTGTGCTGAGACATCGCTGGGTAGGCGAGCGTGGGGCTCCGCGTCGAGCTGTGCCAGGAAAAGTGTCCGGGTGGGCTCTGCTGAAACACTGACTCGGTGGGACTTGGACTCTGATACTCCAGCTGGCACAGTAGGTCCGTGGGGTCTGGTGAGATTGTGCCTAACGAGCCAAACACGGGCTCGGTAACCACTTTGGACTGTAGAAAGGCGAGGATCCGCGCGTACTTGGTGTCTTTGGTCTCCATTCGCTCTACGGTGGTTAAGTAGTGAACGAGGTTTTTCATGCACTCGTGATAGCCGTAGTGGAAGTAATTCGCAAACTCTGTCAGCAGTTCGCCTGTGGAAATACATGGTTTGGCGTTTGTAATTATTTATTTGTTTTGGTGAACGTATTTAGATTTGTACTTCATAGATTTATGTCATGATTCCTACCTTTTTCTCTCCCGCGCGGAAAGTCTGCTGAGTGGAGCGCGCGCAGATACTGCACCGTCATCTCCAGGATTTCTGCTTTCTCAAGTTTGCCAGAATTCTGTTTTTAATTATAGATTGTGTCAGTCATCATCCAAAACAGAGATGTGCATGTAAACTCTTTTAGTGTTTCAAATGCGCACCTGCTTAGCCAATGCCATTGGTACAGTCTTCCCCAGTTCGTTTAGACATCTGTTGATTCGGTCTCTTCTTCTTTTCTCGATGACTTTATGAGAAACGGGAGTTTTCTGTGATAATGGGAGATGATGATTGGTTAAAGGAACAAACATTACCAAACATAAAAAGAAGAGTTGCAGTGTGTGCTGGATTGCATAGACTGGAGATTATAAATAGCATGCGTTTAGCAAGAAGTTAGGAGAGTCGTGTTGCGCTCTGCGTCATTGCGCGCAAAATATCTGCTCGAGAAAGGATGCATCTGGAATCTGGAGCATTCTAATTAAATTCTCAAGACATAAGCTTTCGTTAAATGTAAGAGCAATAAAATCAATCTGTGTATCTGATATAAAATAATTGTATATATAACTGTATGCTGTACAGTTCCCCCGTTTAAAAAAAGCGCGCGCGCGCACTGAAAATTGCTGATTTATTTTATATGATGTTTTAATAAAACGACATACTGAAAAGTATATTTTAAAAAAACACATGAAACGTACAGGTCATTTCAAACAGTAGCTAAATAGTAAAAAAGTAAAACATTCAAGGAGAACATGACGTCAGTGGCATTATGTGTGCGCCATGAAAGTGTCCACATACCTTGCGATCCTTCATCTTTGACGCCATCATTTCGTAAAAAACAAGTCTATAATTACAAATTATATAATTGTCAAAACCTAGAGCATCGAGTGTGCGCGTTCTCCTCTTTCCAGACGCTTCAGACTGAGAAGAGCTGACCGGAGGCGGCCGCTTATAAAGTGCTCGCGCATTCATGGCCCTAAATTATTCCATAGGATTAAAGGCGAGCTTTTTGGTTAATGTGTGCACTTAGGATCAGTTAAAGAAATAGTAAAACCTGAAGCTGTGGGCTAGCGGGGGGCAGACCTACTTTGTTAATCCACGTGGCCTGTCTAAAGACACGTGATGGGTTGTAGAATATTATTTGCATAGTAACAGGCCTTGCTGGAGATGACTCGAGCGAGCGCAGCGCGCGCAATGAAAACAAAGCCCCCGGAGCAAGGCGTCCCTTTCTGTTCCACGTCGCGTTTCTCACACGATCGCCTGTTTATGGGTCCCAGCAAGCGATCTTAACTTCCATCCCAAGCCCGTCTTAGGTTTAAAGCCTGTCTACTGTTATTATAGTAATTAAGTAAGCACATAATAGGCTGTTCCGCCGAGTTCAGGGGAGACCTTTTGGAGACGGAGTCCCCCCGTTTGTTCGCAGCGTTTCTCACACGACTTGGTGACACGTCCATCTTTCATGGGCTACGGCCGGGTTTTTGTTTACATTCTCTAGTTTTGTTAGGGGCCTCGGCAGGTGTGGGGACCCGGCCTGGCACACGAGCGGCCCCTCCGACCATGTTAGAGACTCCAGCCGTCTTTGGCACACGAGGGTTACCCACCGCTGGATTCCCTTCAGAGGGGCTCAATTTGTATCCTATTATCCTATAAGAAAATGTCTATTGAGCGGAATGAATAGTTTCATTGGCCTAAATTTTAATAATGCAGTGAAAGAAAAGAAAGAGGAGAAATAAAGAAGAATGCAGCTGGTCCTGACGCGCATTATTCTCCGTCACCTGCGCCTGGAGACCCCTATTCATTTGCCTAATTTCGGTCAACTTAACAAACTTTGGGAGAAATTATTCTGGCATTGTTGTGCAGGGTGAAGCTTTCTGATCGAATTAACAGCATGTTTTGATCCGGTAAATGTCATTAGAAAGAAAGAAACAATCGCGTATAGAGGGGTCTGGGTAACGCGCCAAGTGGCGACGCCAAAGCGCAATTCATGCCACAGGGGACTTTTGTACCCCCACATTGCTCAAGTTTGTGCCCAACAAAGGGCATTATTTTATACTTGAATACATTTCATACAACAATTGGCTGTTTTCATCAAACATATTTTCACAGCAAGGTTAACAACAGGTTTATTGTGTTCGCTCAGGCTCCCAGCCTCAGACTTCATGCGCCAAAACGCCTGGATCTTCTGCTTTTTTTCACTGGGAACGTTTTAATCCCGAAGGTTGGCTATGCTTTAAAGTGCAAGATCGTGTTGCATCGAGAATGGAAAAAAATCAAAGATGTGAGGATTTTTTTTTTCTTTTAAAGAATTCAAGCTCTTTGGATATCCAAAGCATTGGAGACTTTTATACGGCGCGCAAAAGAAAAGCACCAGTGAAACAGACGAAAGCATAAAATCCCATTACTTTTATTGTTGAATTTACCACAAGATTTTATGCAAACGCACTTTGGAGCCGACACAACCAATCTTTTAACTTGCTTTCTGAAGCTGAAGTACTTTAACGTGACTATTTTATCTTTTCTTTTTGTAACCGTGTACGGTGCATTTAAGAACAGCAATACGCCAACAGAATTTTCTCCCATCACTGTGTAATTTAATTGTCCAATATTACGCCAAACAATACGATACAAAACATTATTGTATTTTATCGATGCTATGTTCCTGTTTATTTCAAAAGAAACTAAAAACAAATGCGCAGCGAGGAAAAAAGCATTTTGCATGCAACAAGTGGGTGCCATATTTGTTTTTTTTTCTGGGGGGTTTCTATTTTGATACTGACTGTAAATAAAAATGTGCTATATCTCAAACAGCTGATTTTGAATATCTTTACACAATGCGTTTAATATTGAGCAAAATATTTAGACGGAAAACGCAGTTATCACTATGCGTGTTATTGTCGTAATTGTACTTTAAATGTTATTTAAAATTTGTCCAAGCTAATGTTTAAGATAATAAAATTATTTTTAATATGACAAAATAGGAAACCTGTTTTATTTTAGTTTAAATCTAAAATGTCTGATTTATACGGTTTATTTATAACGATCATATAATTTATTGGCTGTAAAATAAAGCTATTTATTACAAAAAATAAAACCCTCATTTTTTAAAATTTTTAAATGTATTTTAATCTACAAAAAAAATTAACAAATATTTTAAGCCATGCAATTAATGGATAAAAATGTAACCAACAAATTTAATTAATTTAAGAAAGTTTTTGAGTCCAATAAAAGTCATAAACTCTCCTAATTGTCGCATCAGTGTTTCATTCCTGAGCCTTATAAGAATTTTAAAGCTGTCCAAACACGCTTCTGTATGTGGATCACACTCTTATAGAGGGGCTACCTGAAAGCTGAACTCTGTCTGTAAGGATCTCTCCATGTGAAAGAGAATTAGAGGAGCGCAGTCATGCATGTCACCCTGATTACAGCAGTACAGTTCGCCTTATATCCCAACCAACCTAAGACTTTTTCACAGACACCCTAACCAGTCTGGGCTTTTTCGGACAGGAGGGGATGCTTTCGCTTGTGTTAAGGGTTGCTAAGGCAAATCTTTTAAAGAGTGATTTAATAGGTCTTACCAATCGCCTTGCGCTATTTTTTTTAGGTCTTTCGGTATTATAGTCAAGTATCACTTTGTTTTAGTGTGAACTGGTTTTTGTAGTTGTTGATTTTAGCAATTTATTTATTAAAATTGTTTAAGCCCTAGCACACTGTTGGCCTCCCAAGAACTTGATTTAAGTCCAATAAAAGTTTTTTGCGTTTTATAGCTAGTTTAATAAAGCGCCATCTTGTGGAAATTTCAACAAGTAAGCATACACGTCATCTTCAGATGTCTTAAACTATATTTAAATTTTCAGTTAGGCTAGAAATGTTTATGACACTTAGCACCTTTTGAACCACAGGCTGTCGTTTGTTGTCATCTGCAACTTCAAACATTGCAGCATACATGATGTTTGTGATGTATAGTGTGTTGTGCGAGATTTGAAATTCCTACGTTGATGGGAAAAAATGTTGATCCTGTCGACGATGTGTTGTCATGCGAGAGGCGGTGACCCGTGGTGACCTCCGGCCAGAGACGCGCACAATCCTTTAGCTTCGCGCGCCACCGTGAGTCTCCTCTGCATCACTTCACACGAGACATTCAGCATTGTTCCGCCTCACAATAGAGCATCCTTAACATTCTCAAAAATCGTCCAAAATCAAACATAACACTAGTGTTCGGTGAGTCAATCAAATAGGTGGAATAGCTTTCCCTTTTTGTTTCCCTATTAAAAATGTGTATATAGGTTAGTTCAAAATAATAAACATGATTTAATGTCGCCCTCTTGCTCACTAGAGGGAGACAAAAAGCACTTTCATTTTTTTATTAGTTTTTATTTTTTTCTGCCTTGTTTGTATTTTAAGTTAATTTTATTAACCTGGTTGCAGATGTATTTGTTTATTTATTTACTCATTTATTCACTAATTTAAAAAAAAATGTCTTGGCAGCTATAGTTGAAAACCTACAAGAAGCACTTTCTCAAAAAACAAAACAAAAACACACATTCTCTAGCACTAAATTCTCTGAGCACAAACAGGTTACTTTGAATAACTAGCACTTCTTGTATGTATTGCCTTGTATGTATTGTCAACTGTAAGTCGCTTTTGACGAAAGTGTCTGCTAAATGACTAAATGTCAATAGCAACAAAAACATTTATATTTACTGAATAAACATGTATTTATGTAAATATAAACAGGCTCACCCCCCACTGACAAAGTCCAGCATTTTGGCCCCTATATGAGCTCATTTGTCCCATTTTTGACAGTATGCCATTATAAACAAGTCATTTCATTATTCAAATTGACAAATTCTGAGGAAATGATCTGTTTGTTATGTTTTGTTTTTTAGATGGGTTTTAATTGGCTTTAACAGCTTCCTAATTGTTTGTTAGACTTGATAATAAATTAGTATTTATAAATAAATAAATTTCATACTTATTTATTTTTAATTTTTAGTTTGAAATTCTAACCTCATAACGTTATTTAGGGTGTCACAGTGGCACAATGGGTAACGTTCTCACAGAAGGTTGAGAAGCCTCACAGAAGGTTGCTGGTTTAAGCCTTGGCTGGGTCAGTTGGCGTTTCTGTGTGGAGTTTGCATGATCTCCCCGTGTTCGTGTGGGTTTCCTCCGGGTGCTCCGGTTTCCCCCACAAAACCAAAGACATGCAGTACAGGTGAATTGGGTAAGCTAAAATTGTCTAAAGTGTATGTGTGGGAATGAGTGTGTATGGATGTTTCCCAGTGATGGGTTGCAGCCGGAAGGGCATCAGCTGCGTAAAACATATGCTGGATAAGTTGCGGTTCATTCCGCTGTGGCAACCCCAGATTTATAAAGGGACTAAGCCGAAAAGAAAAGGAATGAATGAATAACATTATTATCAACCTGTAATAACTTAAAGTTTAAGTGCACATTTCTAAATAATCTCTTTGTGGTGAAATAGTATGGTGAGCACTTTGACAAAATAGTAGGAAATATTTTTGTTGCATCAAAAAGTGTGATTTTGATCACCATTCGACAAGCTAATGCAGTAAATGTTAATGCTTAAAATATCACTAAAACAAAGTATTTGAACCTCATAATTTAATAGAAATTGAGGAGTAAACTGCAAAAGCTCCACTTTTTGAGAAAAAAAGGTCCACCCATTTCAATAGGCTGGCTACTGGCCTGATAAAATACATTTATATTCAGTAAATATTTCTTGTATTTCAAGTAACCTAACACAAATGCATATTGGCTTGCTTGTCTTCATTTTTAAATTAAAACTAATAACCCTGCCTGAGAAATAATTGATTTAGTTAATAATTGGTTGATAGATTAGTTAGTGCTTAAAAACCCAAGGTTTGCACTGGAAATATAAATCAGGTGTAAAATCACACGACATAAAATGTAAAATCTAAAGTTTTGGGTGTTTTTTGTTTAAAATTTTGACAACCTCTACATTTTGTAAAACATCTAAGTGCCGTCTGATATTTTAGAGCA